ACTTAATTTTTTTTGGATTTTGTTCGCGACGGTTTAAAAACTAAGCAAAAAGTGATGAAAGAATATTATTTTGTATAAAAAGTGAAATTAGCAACGAAATCGAACAAATTGTGTATTAATATGGTTTTACAATGTGTTTACAACTCTTAATATACTTGTATAGAATGTCATTTTCTGCCGACTTCCAAAAAGGAGCCGGTACTCAATTCGGCTGTATGTTTTTTTTTTCGTTTTTTTTTTATGTGTGTTACCTCAGAACTTTTTTCTGGGTGAACCGATTTCGATGATTCTTTTTTATTTGAAAGCTGGTACTTCTCGTGTGGTCCCATATGAATTTGATCAAGGTCACAACAATAGTTTTTAAGTTATTCTTAAATAACTTATATTGAAGTCGGCTGTACAAAATTTTTAATTTTAAATTATAATAATAGTTGATATAAACTAGCTTGCTACATATATATTTATCTATGATATAAACCACTAAGAATTTAAGAAAAATTCGACCAATCACAGCGCGTCGTGTCGTGGAACTTTCTGGAAGTTTAATTAACTGCGCAATAGTTTGTATGAAAATAATGAGAATATTTTCGAGTTCTAAAAGAGTTGTAAATATGATATTTAGTTAGCATATGATGTATAGATTGCAATAATAAAGAAATAATTTGTGTAAATAGACGCTTTTGATAAATATAGAAAAATTAAAGATTTAATGTACACATTTGTTATGAAAATTTGGTACATTTTGTTTAATAACTTTTTTAAATGTAAATATATTGAGTAACCTTTATCACATACTGATAAAGGACCAAAATGCCTATTTAATGATGTATAGTGTGTTAATGTAAAAATTAGCCTTGTATAGAAAATATTGCGATTTGTGCTATTTACATAATGAAAATGTTTAAAAATAAAGAGGCAAAACCGGAAAATGGCAAGCGGCTCTCTATACAGTATAGCCGAAGTCTAACTTATGGGGGCAAATCACAGTAACGTTGTAGTAGGGATGTGAAAAAATAATCGATTTTCATATTAATCGATTATTTTTTTGTTATAATCGATTTTTCGAAGTCGATTTTTTTTATAATAAAAATCGATTTTTATGTAAATTACGCGTTTCAATCGATTTTTGTAATCAGAGTCATCTGTGCGATGGATGAAAAAACGTGAAGTTCAATAACATGAATAAGTCAATGAAAAGACGGCGCCACCTTTATGTATCTCTATGTATGTAAAACAGTTTCGCTTTTCGTATGTTTTCAACAGGTTTCTTCCTCCGCCAGGAGTAAAAATATTCTGTGGTTTTCTTTCTTTCTTTGGTTAGTGTAAACAATTATATATAAACAATAAAAATGTCTTGTGAAACGCGTAAAAGTGACTGACAGAAATATTTAATAATGAAAAAATGATAGCGGCCAACACGTCAATAGGCAAAAATACTGAATTGGATCTATATATTGCGGCACCACTATCAAATCTCAAGGCAGATGCCCTCAATATATGGAGAAGCTCTGAAGGAACTTTCCCTAAACTAACCGAATTGGCTTTTAAACACCTCTCAGTGATGGCCAGTTCCGCGCCAGCCGAAAGATTATTTTTGAAAGCGGGAAATATTGTCAGGAAAAAACGAAACCGTATTTTGGGAAAGAGACGAAGAAGAATTTTGGTGAAATGATTGTTTTTAAAGTCTTTAACTGATATTTTTTTTTTACTTTTTTTGTTTACACTAGTGTAAAAAAAGATTTGTCTTTTATTTTAGTTTTGAGATCAAAAGGTTGTCGTCGGATTATTTATAATTATATTTTTATTTTATTTTCATTCTAATCCAATGTAAATGATACTGAACATTAGTGGCATAATGATATTTAGACTTTTTGTTTGTTCAAACTTAGTTTAAAAAAACTATCGTTTACCAAAATTATGGTTTCTTAATGATTTCTTATATTTACGCGAAAACTACACATTAAATGAAATTAATTTTTACGGATTTGATCACGCTTAATTTAACTTTTTAATTCCTGACGTTTCGGGTGCTGTAATACAGCACCCATGGTCACGGGGGGAACTGAGGTCTTTGACGTCCAGATGTCATAGTTAGCCTGGCTAAATTTAGTTTTTAAATATTAATATTTGGTCCGATCTACGCAGAATGAGCTTACAGTATCTTGAAGTCTTACAGTGGTATGCTTGGGTTTGGATTTAATTTTATTAATTATAGGATGCCAAGCAGATGGCAGCACCCATCCATCTTCTCTATTGAAATTAGGATGTTTTTTAATTTCGATAGCCTAGCGAATCATCCTTGGTTGGAAACGGTGTTCTTTTGCGAGGATTTGTGGTTCAACTATGACATAGGGACGTCAAACACCTCAGTCCCCTCTGTGACCATGCGTGCTGTAAAGCACCTAAAATGTCGGGAATTAAAAAGTTAAATTAAACGCGATAAAATCCGTGAAACTTAGTTTAATTTATCGTTTCTGTTTAGTTTGGTTGTAATAAATTGTTAAATGGCACTGAACATTTGTGGCAGTAATTATTTTTAGTTTTTTATTGTTCAAAGTTATATGTTAAAAAATTGTTCTGTAGTTTATTTCTAAAACCAGAAGATTATTTTTCGAATAAATTTTTTTTTCCACAAAAATCGATTATTTTTTTTATAAAAAAATCGATTTTTCATAAATCGATTATTATCACAAAGCAAAAAATCGATTTTTTATTAATCGATTTTTTTCACTCAATGTCACACCCGTACGTTGTAGTAGGAAGAACTACCAGTAACAAGCAGTAGGTAGTATCCGGTAGTAGCTGAAGTGACTAGTAGCAGAACACAGTGAACAGTTATAGTGAAATAGAAAAAGTTTAGCTAGCCGAAAAAGGTCGTAACTGAAAATCGCAGTTACACATAGTCGAAAAAAGTGGCAACTGAAAATTCTCAGTTGCATATAGTAAAATAGTGTTAGCTAGCCGAAAAAAGTGGTAACTGAAAATTCGCAGTTACATATAGTAAAAAAGTGTTAGCTAGCCGAAAAAAGTGGTAACGGAAAATTCGCCGTTACATATAGTGAAGTGTTAGCTAGACGGAAAAGGTGGTAACTGATATTCGCAGTTACACAAGTGTTAAATTCAACTAATTTTAGTTGATTTTAGCTGCTAGTCAGTAGTGTTAGAAAACCAGCTACTACCAATAGATATTTTGATACTACCAATAGATATTTGTTACTTCCAATAGATATTTTGAAAATACCAATAGAAATTTTAATATTACCGCGCATTTTAATTAAATCTTTTGAAATATATAGTGACCAACCGATAGTGAACAACCGTGTTCAACAACCGTGGTCAATAAATAAATAGTTATAAAATTTTGCGACTAATTAATCAGTCGAACCGCTGACCACTCCCTTGCTATTTTAATTTATAAATGTGCATTTTAATATTGAACCTCAGTCCACAGTTTTCCACCAACACACACAGAGACGGCAGTGAAAGTATCCTCCGGAACCTATAGGTGTAGGACGTGAGCGACTCGCGGAGTATCTTCGACAACATTTACTCCGGAGAGTTACGCCCGTCCAGCACAAATTTCAATTTTGTATCAAATTATATATAAGTAAATAATAAATAAACAACTACATAAAAATACATTTGTAAGATTTGTAGTTCGTACTATTAATGTTGACAGGCCTGTTGGTCTAGTGGTTAGTGACCCTGACTACTATGCTGGAGGTCGTGGGTTCGATTCCCACCCAGGACAAATGTTTGTGTGATGAGCACGATCATTTGTTCTGTGTCTGGGTGTAATTTATCTATAATATTTATGTATTTAGAAATATATAAGTATGTTTATCAGTTGTCTAGTACCCATAACACAAGCTCTGCTTAGCTTGGGACTAGATGGCGTTGTGTGATAGTTGTGGAATATTATTATTATTATTATTAATGTGTAGCATTCAAAAACGCCTGTCTTGACAGTTTAGAAGCAGATACGCCTATGTCCGGGCAGGTTAGACGCGCAGAAGCTTCTGTCCAAAGATTAGTAGCAGATACACCTTTGTCCAAATTTTAAACTTAAAAAAAGATACGTAAATAATGATAAATTAGATTTTTATTAATTTATTAGTCACACAACAATGTTCTTCACTAATTAATATAAAAAGATTTTTCTATGTATGTCACTTCCCTCATCTCAAAAACAAATATCGCTTTTATCTGTTTAAGATTTCACGGACAAAGGTGCCTTTTCTTTTAGATCTCTTACGTAGAACTTCTTTGGGGAACACCAGAAACTTCGTATCATTCCATTTATGCAACTTCAGCACAAATCCCATCGGAAATTGTGGTAAGAACTACTGGCAAGATATCACCATTTTTGTGGTGATTTGGCGCAGTGGCTTAGCAATCAGTTGTTGCGCTGGGGGCCGCGGGTTCGAATCCCGCACGGAACAAGTATTTATATGGCCTACAAATAATTGTTCCGGGTCTGGATGTTTGTCCTTGTGCAATTTATGTTTGTAAACTGCCTCCACGACACAGGAGAAAATCCTAGTGTGGGGGTAACGTTTTAAAAAACAAAATAAAAAACCATTTTTGTTGTTTTCATCAATAAAAGGCTGATATTTTTTATTTTAATTAACTCATTTATTCAACTGTACATTGATTCAGTGACTCATGGGACATCACAAGCACAGTTCGTAAATAACATATCAACTAAATTTCAAGTTACTTTACTGTGCCATGGTTAAGATGGCCATTCGCTTTGAAACATTCTTTATAATAACATGTATAATAAAATCACATCCCGGGTTAGTTCTTCTCCAGGTCAAACACTATACAATATGGTAACAGATGTCAGATATAATACATAATTGCCAATTACCAGGAAAGAAATAAATGTTTTAAGTATGAAATAAATTAATTTAATTAATATAAACAAGTACACATCTTGTGCCTATAGAAAAAAAATTCTAAAACTGAATAATTTTTTACTACTTTTTCTGAGGTGTTTACTTCTTAGATACTGGTTTGTATGCTAGCTTCCTGGATTTTATCGTAGACCACTTGTGCCGTTTGTAGTAGTAGACAATGGCAGCTAGTGTGGAGAAGATGCCGATGGCTTTGATGGTCATGAGTCGGCGGTCGTCGAGTTCAGGCTCTGAGCACCATCGCAGGAAGGTAGCGACATCCTTTGCCATTTGAGATGAAGTTGCTGGTGTACCGTCGCTGTATTCAGCAGCCTGTAATAAAACAGATTACATAATTTGAAACCATATTGAAAAAGTAGGTGGTAGTGCCACACTGCAGCTATATTATGGTTGTAGCATGAATGGGTCGAGTTGACTGGGTTAGGACCACACTCTCACAGGACACCAGTGTAAAATAGCAGCTTAATGCTGCTGTGGTGTGTGTGTGGTGTCGTATGGTGAGTGTAGAGAACCTGAGACCCTTTTTACTAGAAACGAGGCACTTCATCTTAGTCCTCAGGGGTGGCAACGCATCTGCATTTTGATTCTTAATCGCGGATAATTGTAAATGTCTATGGGTCACAGCATCAACTTACCATCAGGTCGACTGTGTGCTTGTTTGTCACATATAGTGATATGTAACACAGCAGCATTAAATTGCTGTTTTACGCTGGTATTCTTTGAGAGTGTGATCCTTTGGGAATTAGCATTTCACTAGTACAAACCTACATATATGTACAACTTTGCGATATGATGCGACCTTATGAATCAATTATGAACAGCCGCCTACATCTATAAAACTTACGTCATCGAACAGCGCTTGTGCCATAGATATAGCTCCGCCTGGGAAGTATGGGTTGTAGCTTTGTCCTTCACGGAGTGGGACGCCTGCGGGCGGTTCGGTGTAGCCCGTTAGCAGTGCGAAGATATAGTCCTCGCCACCCTTACGGGCTGAGCATATGAGCGACAAGTCCGGAGGATAGGCACCTAAAGAAAAATAATAATTTGAAAATTAAAAAAGTCATTTTCAATTGTTATAAAAATACTTTTGAGTTAGTAAGTAACCTAAAACAGAATTCAAGGTCGTTGTAACTCCCTGTCCAAACAAATAAGATGTAGATATATTTAGGCAATAACATTTTTAATTTTAAGAAGTCTATTAACTCTTTAGTAATAGTAGTAAAGAGTTAATAGACTTCTTAAAGGGTCTTTACATCCAAACATTTAAAATTAAAAAAAAACCATATGTATTTAGTTATGTAGTTTTATTTTAATTATATTATTTTATCATTATATTTCATTATAAATTATTTACGTAATTAACTGGCCTACGAAGTATGCCGTAGTGCCCTATAATTAAAACATTTATGACTACTTATAATCCTTATTTCTATACTTGTCTCTTTTTATTATCATTTAATGAAAAGAGAGATTGCAACTTTAAGCATTTCTTAAAATGACTTCGACAAAATGTAACATAATGTAATGTATGTCTTGTTAGTTATATAAAAGTGCACCTGGTAAGAAATGCTAGGTGGTAAATGAAAGTAGTAGGCGGATATGTGAAAACCGTCAACACGCATTGCAGCAGCGAGGAGGTCTAATTGATCCAACCCGCATTCATGAAGACTACTTTAATGACTTTGATGAAATTTACAGAATAGTGGCTTATGGATGCGAAATATTGATCTAGGTAGGTCTCATTTCTGAGGAAATTAGTTTTCTTCAGGTTTTCACTTATATATAAGCTTCATATGCCCGCGCCCGCGCATGATTACACGTTTTATGGGATATTTTAATCGTAAGCTTTGGTCGAATAATGCTCAATTGCAGTTTTTTTTTTAGAAAATCATTGCATTTTCGATATACAATCAAATTTTTTTAATACCCTTATTTAATAATTAAAATAAAAACAAAAAAAAAATGTAAAACCAATTGCTTCTCAAAAACGACTCAAATGATTTTGATGAAATTTTGTATTTAGAAAATGTTTTACTTTCCAAGTTTATAGGTATGTGTAGTCCCTGCGAAAGTTATATGTTTTCTGAGTGCCAAGACCAACAAAGCTCAGGGTCGCCAAGGTCTGTGACGTGCTATAAATTAACTTTAGGGATTATATTTATAATTGTTTCTCTTTTTTTTAATTCGTATTTTGCATATAAAACTTTCTTTTATTGACGTAAGAAAATATCCTTTATGTGAAATAAAAATGGCCGAATATCGTAAAATAATCATCCTCTATAATTTGTTAGTCATACATTTATTAGAATACTTAACTTTATGCCATAAAACAAATTATGGAAATAAATAACGAAATTATGAAAACTAATGTATTATTAATTTAAGAGAGTCCATCGCAAGCAGTGAAATATTCATAGGGAGAACATAATTATTAACAGCCCTTTTTAATTAAATTTAACGAATTGCTGAATTGTACACATTGATACAACTTTTCAATTTATTTTATGGAACGTCAGTCCAACTGAAACGTCGCGAATTAAAATAAAACACGATAAAATATTTTTAAATTAGACGTGAGCACTAAGCCTCTAAGCTACCACGGCTGTTAACTCAATTAGAATAGGCATTAGCTTTCTACCAACTTCAAAAAAGAGGAGGTATTCATTTATTATATTATTTGACTATATTTTTTTTTGTTTCGATGATTCTTTTTTTTATTTTAAAGCTGGTGCTTCTCATATAAAATTTTATCAAGGTCTGACCAGTAGTTTTTGAGTTATCCTTAATAATTTGTATCACCATACGTTATTTATTTGAAAACATTAGTACTGAGTAATGAAATTTAATTCATGAAAAAAAAACCGGCCAAGTGCGAGTCGGACTTGCGCACCGAGGGTTCCGAACAAATCCGTAGGTACATAAGTTTAAAATTATTAAAAATATTTTTATTATATGATGTAACTAAAAATTTATGCTTTCGAAATTTTTACTTTATCTGTGCTATAATACGTTGCTTCGTACCAAATTTTAAGATTCTGAGTTCACGGGAGTACCCTGTAGGTTTTGATTCCCTTGCGAATGTCGAAAATTTGCGGTATCTTTTGATTGCGTAGGCTTAGAATTTAGATTTTTTCACCACTCCAAGAGACAGTAGACTTGAATCTTTGATATGAATTTCAGCTTGATCTCTCCACGCGTTCCTGAGAAAAAGGGTCTTGACAGACAGACAGACGGATAAAAAGTGATCCTATAAGGGTTCCGTTTTTTCCTTTTGAGGTACGGAACCCTAAAAAATGCTGATTTACCATGTGATCAGTTGTGAGAGAAAAAATTGTGTAAAAGTCTGTATGTTTTAGAAATTTTAAATATTTCGAGGACATGTGATGTCCATCCACATAAATTGGGTCAAGGCAAGGCACATTGCAGTGCTAAAACCATCCCAGAAATGAAGAGACAACCCAGCAGTGGGAGTTATGTAGGCTCTTACTTTACTTACTTTGAATAAGCAAAGATGGATGATATTATGAAAAAAGGAGAAAGTGTATCACAAATTATTAGAAAAGTCAGGAAGTAATGATTACCCACATCTAAATATTAACAATTTTACTGCTTAGTTATGCCTATGTTCAGTAGTATATATCAAATACTTACTGACAGTTATTATCTTTCATTGTGTCTAAAATTCAGATACTTAAATTGTCCAATTGTGTGGACATCTCATTCTCCATATTAAAACCATCATTGTACGAAGTATATAATTTTTATACTGCCAAAAAACATACTAAGATTTTTTTTAATATTTTAGTCAGGGTAGTCATACACTCGTGTACTACTAGCTTACCATTGGACAGTGAATTCAGGGACAACTTATACATTGTCTTTGTCAAACTATAAATACTCAGCCATCAATTAGAAGCCCTTTTAGGAAAAATATTCCAACCAAAAATAAACATCTTACATTTACGTTGATAGATAACGGACTATTGTGTAGGTGCTCCATTGTAACAGCATTGACTCGATTTAGACACAATCCATGCAATAATTATTATACTTAATGCAGAAAACTACCTTTCTAAATTGTTCGTCTTGTAATATTATCGATGATGTTTATCACATTTTGATAGAATGTGCCTAGAACTCCAGAGAAAGTAAAAATTATAATTTACATTTATTCTTGATTTGTAGTTGTAACAGTATTTTTTTAGTAAATAAGAGATTAAGTAATTAGGAATTAATAAGTTAATAATTTATTTGTAAGTAATTATTTTATTTAAGATTTTTAGTTGTAACTACCAGGTTGTTACTCAGTGACAAAGCCCTTTTTCTATGAATAAAAAAAATACAATTCAAAATAATAACTGTAATAGTATCACCACAGAAATTCAGTCAAAAACTATTTTTGAAGTTATATCAAATATTATAGACAAAAATCATAACTTTGGACTTGGATAGGAATTTATGTATACATACAGATTACAGGCCATAATCAATGGTATATAATACTCTAGTAACAAGTAAAGTATTATTAAAACAACCCAGCTGCATTATTAATTTATATTCATTACATATAAATACTATTATAATTATTGGTTATTAAGTTTTGCATGCACCATATTTTAAAAATCAACACAATATTCATAACTAAAGAAAGCAAATATATAAAACAATATTGAATACAGTAATTAGTCTCAGGTTGGATGGTAGTAGTCAAGCATGAGCTTATAATACTTAAAAATGTTACATAATAATTGAGAAAATACAATATGTGACTTACCATTGTTGGCAGCCCTGGCAGCATTTTCATTGGGGTATGGAGATGGGAAGTAATCTGAAAGCTTGCCTGGCCTATCAAAGTAGTTTCCTTCATCATCTGGTCCATCTCTGATCATTACCTAGATAAAGCAGTTTAACAAATTAATTTTTTCAACAAAAAATGTAAATAGTTTAAATATTTAAAAAAAAATATACCAACATATTATATAAGTAGTACTGATACAAATGAATGATTACCTATTATTTTATTGTAAGGAATAGTCTTTAATAAATGAAACCTTTCAAATGAAAATAACTTAATATTGTTTTATCTGTACAGGAGCTATGGTGCCACAGACTGACACACATACACACTACAAACTTATAACACCGCTCTGTTTTTGTTGTGGGTTGATAAAACAATATCTATGCCCAAATAGTCAATGAGCAATAGAAACCATTTCCTACAGAAATGAGTTTAACAGTCTTATGCAATCAACTCAAGACAAATATTTTTGTTATTTAAAGTTTTGCAAGCATGATAGTTACTTTGTTGTGCAAAAGTATTTAAAATCTAAATATTTATAAAACATTACTAACTTCTGCTGCTTCAGCTTTAGCTTCATCTTCAGTGTGGGTGACATTAACCAAGTTTCGGAAGGCAATATATTGCAGTGAATGACATGCCTTGCACACTTGTTTGTACACTTCATAACCACGGCGGACGCTGACAAAAATAATATTTATTAACAATGATAACTTCCCAAGTACCACTACAACACGGTATTTTTTTTGATATAAATAAAATGTTAAATATAATATACATCGCAGATTGTTTAAAATGATATAACATAAAAAAAATGTATTAATGTATTCATAGTTCCTAATAAAATAGGAATGTTATGTTTTGTAACATTTATAATTTTTTTTTTCATTTTGCAACTCACCTGGCATGGTCAAGTGATTGGAACCAACCGCTGTGGCTCCAAGGTTGGTGGTAAGGATGAGCTTCAGTACCAGAAGCTTGCACAGACTGTTCAAGGGCAAAAAGTAGTGCACCAGCCCCACCACCTATAACACCTAATGTTGACAGGAGCTGGAAGTAAAAATATTACAATCTATATAGACCTAGCAAGTACTATATTATTATGGTTCTCATTGCAAGACTTATTAAGTACATTTCTTAGAGTATAAGTAAGCAACTAACCAGTTTTCTATTCCTTGTCCATCCTTGAGTATTGGTGGACAGCTGACAAACCTGCAATGTAGGGTCACCGTTAGTTTTTTGCACTAGTTACATAATGTTTAGGAGGTTATCACTTGTCAAAAAATTATTATGGCACTGGGTTCATTAACGTTTTTTTAAAGTTCTACGTGCTCCCTCTTTACACTAACCACGAATAAGAGAACTAGCATTTTAAATACGTAAAATACACCCGTTTCCAGTGAATTTTGCAAAGCTTACATTTTCATCTTTTTAACAGATATAGCACACAAATCCTATTTAATAATAATATTTCACATTTAAGTCGCATTTTATAGATATTATGAGTACCTGGGGTGCAACTAAGCCATAATTTTTCAAAAGTCGTGCCCCACAAATTCTACCGACAGCGGCCGCCATGATAGCAAAACGTCTACTTATATTGAAAGAAGAAATTGACAATTACACACAGTGTTACCAGCCCGAAGTTTATCTCGGAGGTAGATATGAATATGATTTCAGAAGTTGGTAGTTTCCTACCAATCCTACTTTGAAAAGTTAGTAGATCTACCACCTATATTTTTTAAAGTTTTCTAGAGACATCATAATAATAATGTGATACTCATAATTAATGTTTCTATTAGATAACAAATATTTCACCTCTTTTTATAAGGAACGCCATGTGAAAGCAGGATCATTGATCATCAATTTCCAAAATAAAACGCAAAAAAAAACGAAAAACCGAATAATAATAAGTTTAGTGTATCCTGATTTAATTGACGGCTCCGTGGCGCAGTGGCTTAGCAATCAGTTGTTGCGCTGGGGGCCGCGGGTTCGAATCCCGCACGGAACAAGTATTTGTATAGCCTACAAATAATTGTTCCGGGTCTGGATGTTTGTCCTTGTGCAATTTATGTTAGTAACGTGCCTCCACGACACAGGAGAAAATCCTAGTGTGTGGGTAACGTTTTTTTCAAAAAGAAATAAATAAAAAGAAATAAATTTATTAATGAAATAGTTTTCATCATTAAATATTAAATTTCTTTATTAGTATAAATAAACTTACTTGAATCTATCTTAATTTATAGCAGTGGTAATTGAGAAGTCACTTATGGTTTTATGGTATGTTATTATTAGAATCGTTTAATCTAAATTAAATCTATAATATAAGTCATATGAGTTACGAAATATTCATACTGCTTTAGCTCTTCTTATTAGTTTGTGATTCATACATTTACTTTTACTAAGGAAGTCCCTCCTCTTAAAGGTTGTGATGATATTCTCTTTGGTTAAAGCATAAAGTAATGTCCTCTCTATTCTTTGTTATATTCAATGCCATCAAAAACATAACTTGTAACAGGGGTGTCACTTCCACTATGGAAGGTATGGAGCACTCCATACCTCAAGTTTTTCAAGGTATGGAATTCCATAGCTGAAATTAGGAAATAAATCGCATATTACTACAAACCCCATATAAATAAATCGCAAGCCCTTAAACCTCAATACCCCACATCTTATAGTTCAATAAATAAGTTGAGTATATACACTGCAAACTCTTAAACCTTAATACCCCACGAGTAATGCGAACAAATTTGAAAATCGCGCCACCATTTTCCATACCTCAGATTTTTACAAAGTGACACGCCTGACTTGTAATAATTTAAAATTAAAAATTTTGTACAGCCGACTTCAATATTAGTTATTAAGAATAACTCAAATAACTCATAAACTATTGGTCTGACCTTCATCAAATTCTATTATTCCTCATTCAAATATGGGACCACATGAGAAGTATCAGCTTTCGTATAAAAAAAGAATCATCGAAATCGGTCCACCCAGTAAAAAAATATGAGGTAAGACACATAAAAAGACATAACATATGCGTCGAATTGAGTACCGTCTCCTTTTTGGAAGTCGGCAGAAAAAAGCCAAGTCTCGCAACTCAGTTCTTCTACCGTAAAAAGTTGTGAGATCCATGTAATACCAAGTTGGTTAATTTATTCAGTCCCTACTTAAGGGTCCTTCTGTCTTAAATTATTACGTAATTAGCTAACCTAACAACATCTTATAGTGACCACATCAATACAAAAATCTTTTATATTTTAAATAAATAGATCGACTTGGCCATCGCATGAAAACACAATGTATCTCAAGTAATACATATTATATTAAATTAGATGGTTTAGTGCGATTGCCAAGTCAATTTATTTATTTTAAACATAAAAGATTTTTGATATTGATATGGACACTATAAGATTTTGTTAGGTTAGCTAATTACGTAATAATTTAAGACAGAAGGACCCTTAAGTAGGCCGTGCCCCCAGATGAGCCCGTTGAGGGATTAGGTAAATAGAAAGATAGATTGATGAAAAAAGATTGAAGGTATTAATATAATTTTCTGCGGATTAAGAACTATAATTTTTAAAAAATTTGAAAAGTTGGTAGATTTTTTTTTGCTAGGTAAATAAAAAAAGTGGTAGATCTACCGAAAAGTTGGTAGAGTTGGTAGCACAGAACACAATTACTCTAGCTACCAAGAGAAGAACGCCAACTTCATACTAAAAGAAAAAAACACGTGTTTCTGACTGTACACTACAAGCGTCACGGTGGGGTGCGAAGTCAGAAGTCCTCCACGTGTGCCTGGTAGTTGCGGGTCCCTCTCGATACGTCTGGAGGGAAGAGCAGCTACTGGGCCGGTGCACCCTGGGCGCGGCAGTAATCTTCCTCGAGAAATGAGAAGAAATTCTTACTCCTTGGGGAAGGTTACTGCCGCGGCTAATTATTCTGACATGGGTGGGGTCCGTCCCGGACCAACGGCGCGTTCCACTGCGTGACACTCTGATCAGCAGAGGGCATAGCAGAGGAGTGAGGGCGGGCTCGGGGTGCACTTACCCTGCCTCCGGGCAGACAGTGAAGGATTCATCCTTTGCTGTCACCGCCGGTCTCGTAATCCCAGTATCGAAGTGTCGTGGATCATGTCTCGCGGCTTTGATTGGGACCGAGGGTCTTGGCTTAACCGCCCGGACCGCGAGGGAGAAAACCTCTATAAAAAGTTACCCCGAATCTCAAGCGGCGACGCACCGCGAGGGGATGGATGGCTGACGGGGTTCTATGAACAAATCAGTCGATAGTGCGCTCCTCGCCAGGGTACCTGCAGACCCCCTGGCGAGTAATAAATCCTCTAAATCTGCTTACCTTGGTAAGGGGTCACTGCCAAGGTGGACATTTAATTACTCCCATACTCGTGGGTACAAATATGGAAAATAAAGAACAAAAAACCAAAACCGCCGGCAACGGCAACGTAGAGGAGAGGAGGAACGATGCGGGGACAGCGTCCGACGCCGCATCGAGCAGCGTGGGAGGCTCAGAGAGCTCCCGACGCGTGGAGCCTGGGACCGCGGAGACCAGTAAGTTCTTCCGCAAGCGGTCCAGGCGGGATGGCGACCAGGGGTCGTCAGCCGGAGAAGAGGAGACTTCGGCCCGGAAAATCCCCACCAACAGGCGGGGCGGGCTGAGAGGCAAGGGGAGGGGGCCCTCTGACAATCAGAGGGCCGAACAAGCGGCAAAGCATGCCGAGGAGGGGCGCCACCCGGGCGATACGGCTCGGGTATCAGGCGAAGAGACGGATGCGACTGGCGGCTCCGAGGTGGAGCGTAAGGCCAGATTCGTAAAGGAGGTGGAGGCCGCGATCAAGGTCGTGGCCCACAAGCAAAAGGCCTCCTCAAAGTTAAAGGCCATTCCCGCGGCCTCCGCCTCCATCATGGCGGCTGCGGAGGCCAACTTTGTTGGGGCCGAGCTTAATGTAAACGAGGTAGCGGAGCTGCGGGCGGAAGTGGCCCGCCTGACGTCCGCCATGGAGACTCTCCAGAAGGAGAACGAGAAGCTCCGCGCAGACCTGGCCAGTCTACGTGAGCCTGCCTCTCGCGCGGCGCCCCAGACGCAGCGCCCAAGCCAGCCCGTGCCGGTGGAGAACCAGGTTCTGAACCTGGTCCGGCAGGAGCTGGCTGCCTTCCAGCACCGGTTCTCCGTGCTGGAGGGCATCGTCCTGCGCCCCCCCCTAGGGGCAAACAAGACGGCGGCGAGGCCGGCAACGGTCTCGTACGCGGCGGCCACAGCTGCCGCATCCAGGCCGGGGCCGTCCAGCCAGCCTTCGGGCGGGGCTGCAGTTGCCCCTCCTCCCCCTGAAAAGCCGGCTCCGGCAAAACCGGTACCGGCTGAACCGGCTCCGGCTAAGCCGGCAACGGGAAAGAGAGGCAAGGCGAAGACAAAAAAGGGCAAAGCGGCAGCACAGGTGGTGGCTGCGCCAGCCCCAGTGCCTGCGGCGAATGTGCCAGCGCCAGCGGCAAGCCAGCTGCCGCCGCCGCCACCGCCCCCGCAGCTCCCTACACCTCCCACGGCTGAAGCCGGTTGGCAGGTGGTCGGGGACAAAAATAAGGGGAAGAAGGCAGCCAAAAAGGCCAAAGAGCAGGAGCGGCAGCGCCAGTTCAGGGCGCGCAAGATGGCGGCTAGGCTCCGCGCCCCGAAGACCGCAGCTGTAGTGATTACACTACAGCCGGACGCGGAAAAGAAGGGCGTTACCTACCGCGATCTGCTCGCGAAGGCGAAAGAGGCGGTGGATCTCGGGGAGCTCGGGATCACCGGGGGCCTCCGGCTCAAAGTCACCCAGACGGGGGCCCGTATGCTGGAGATCCCCGGGGAATCCAGTGGCGCGACCGCGGACGCTCTGGCTGCGAAGCTCAGAGCGTCCCTGGACGCGGACGAGGCCCGAGTGTCCAGGCCCGTCAGATGCGCAGACCTGCGCATCATGGGTCTGGATGACTCGGTATCGGAGAAGGAGTTAGTGGCCGCCGTCGCCAGGTCCGGGGGGTGCACTACTGACCAGGTCAGGTCAGGCGCCATACGCCCGGACCAACAGGGTATGCATGCCGCCACGGTGTGCTGCCCTGTTACGGCGGCCAAAACCATAGTGGAGGGCCGAAGGCTTCTGGTGGGCTGGGTCTCAGCGCAGGTTAAGCTGCTGGAGCCCAGACCTCTGAGGTGCTACCGCTGTCTCGTGGGGCACCACGTATCTGTGAAATGCGCCTCGGAGGTTGACCGCAGTGGCCTTTGCTTCCGCTGCTGTCAGCCCGGACACATATCGGCGACCTGCTGCGCCACGCCGCACTGTGATGCATGTGCGGCGACCGGCAAGCCAGCCGATCACCGGGCCGGAAGCAAGGCCTGCGTGCCACCCGCCAAGGCCAAGGCCGCGGGTAGGGGAGGGCCCTCCGCCGCCACCGCCTCTGTGGCCACCGCCGCAGTCGCGACTGCCGCCGCCGCCGCCGCCGCTGTCACTGTCGCTGCCGCCGCCGCCGCGACACCGACGCCCGCAGAGAGGCGCCCCGTGGAGGAAGCTGAAATGGAATGCCTATAACGGCCCC